TTTCCCCATGGCAGTTCAAGGCCAAGTTCTTCAGTTACCTCTTACTGGAGTACACTTTACGTATCCCAGATTGTAGTTACTATCCTGGTTTCCCCATGGCAGTTCAAGGCCTAGTTCTTCAGTTACCTCTTACTGGAGTACACTTTACGTATCCCAGATTGTAGTTACTATCCTGGTTTCCCCATGGCAGTTCAAGGCCAAGTTCTTCAGTTACCTCTTACTGGAGTACACTTTACGTATCCCAGATTGTAGTTACTATCCTGGTTTCCCCATGGCAGTTCAAGGCCTAGTTCTTCAGTTACCTTTTACTGGAGTACACTTTACGTATCCCAGATTGTAGTTACTATCCTGGTTTTATTTGTTTATCCTACTTCTCGTCGTAAACCATAATCTCGCGTTAACGATGAAGTATAATTAGACGAAACACTCTTGTTGTTGTTGTTTATTTTCAGGAATATCAAATCAAGTACGTTAACAGAAAAGCAAAAACCAGGAAAAATTATTCATTTTTTATAACTGGTTAGACGAAAGAATTATAATAACACTGAAAATCATTAGTCATCATGAAATCATTTTACTTGTTGATTATTATATTGATAAAAAGGATATATATATTCCACATTTTTCTTTATAAACAATAGATGCCATATCAGTTTTTGTTTTCAGCGACAACGAAACTCAATACCCTTCTGAGTGGTCCTTAGCTAGTCATAATACCAGTTTGTTTGTTGTTGTTGTTATCGATGTAGCAACGCGTATCTTATCTAGGCGGGCCGAGCTTGGCCCAGAGATTAGTGCGCCCTAACTGTGAATCCAAGAGTTCGTGGTTCACGTCTCGTCGCCGCAAAAATGCGCTCCGCCCTTTGAGGCCATATAAGAGTAGGTGTTTACTAACTGCCCTCCCTCTAGCCTAATAATTCAAAATTAGGGGCACTTACGGGTAGAGAGCTTTTGTAGGCGCGAAAATTTCTAAAAGAAACAACAAAAAAAGACTTAGATTTCAATGTTTTGTCCAATAATATTGTTTTATCAGTTTTTGCTCTTAGAGATTAATTGACTTTTAGCGAGTTCTTCAGAGCTTCTTCTCATTTTATATTTACACAATATTAGAGGTACTGCCCCTTGTTAATGGAAAAGTCATTGAAACGAATACTCACATTAATGTAGGAAGCAGGAGGAAGGTCACCCCTTATGCCAGAAAATTGGGTAAAGAGAGCTAAGAGGCTTGTCACACAGAGAGTGACTCTCCCGGGAATAGCGTCCAAACCCATCCAGAAAGAAAACCAGGACAGAGTGACAATCAAAGCACTTGGAGCAAAGACTTGCATGAGATGGTGCGCGATCTGTCTCTCAAACTTGAACTCCACGAACACCGTGGAATATTCCACTGAAATAAAAAAGAAATACATATATCTGGTTCTGAAACATAGACGGTAGAATATATAACTCTATATAAATAAAACAACAACTTGCAACTCATCTTTCAAACATAGACGGCAGAATATATAACTCTATATAAATAAAACAACTTCCAACTCATCTTTCAAACATAGATGGTAGAATATATGTTGTTTTATTTATATAGAGTTAACTTCCCAACTCATCTTTCAATGATTGATGTTTGGAAATTGTCCACTAACGAGACTCGTGAAACTGAATATCCAAGAAGGACGATTTTCGGGTCTCACTGTTGGAGGTAGCTATTTTTGAACACGTGGATGCTGTGATATTTTTAACATCGTATGTCACTTATCACTTAATGAAATAAATGAGTAAATATGGCGGGAATATTCAGTCTTATTTTCTAATGCTTAACATTGGATAATTTTGCAAATTTGTTTTTTCTGATTTTGGCTAGAATTTGTGGGACCCTAATGACCCCTTTTGACCCACTCAGAAATATGTTTATGCTTGGCCAGTTTACTAATATACTTGAGGGAACACCGAGTTAATTTAGTACAGGGTGGTATAAAAGTCGTTGACCACCATGATACTTTGATTTTTACAAACTGTTCTTGTGTTTCACCAGCTGTTGTTGCTGTTATGATTATTAATAGGATTTTCATTAACCTGGTAAGAACGTGTGAAAGTGATCCTGTTGGAATATTGTTTCGTGATATTCACGATGCACGTTTCGAACATACGTAAATGACATGGCGATGCGCGAGTTTTGCATCAAATTAGAGCTTTGCTGGAAACGCCATTTCAAGCCATAAGTTTCCCTTAGGCTGAAATGAAACGCATTACTTAGCAACGCGAGTCAACCTACTGCTTGACGAGTATGAGACACGAGTCAACCTACTGCTTGACGAGTATGAGACACGAGTCAATCTACTGCTTGACGAGTATGAGACGCGAGTCAACCTACTGCTTGACGAGTATGAGACACGAGTCAACCTACTGCTTGACGAGTATGAGACACGAGTCAAACTACTGCTTGACAAGTATGAGACACGAGTCAACCTACTGCTTGACGAGTATGAGACGCGAGTCAACCTACTGCTTGACGAGTATGAGAGATATTTTTTATATTTACTTATTGTTTAGCAGCAGGATGTATCAGTCTCTAAATTGCATGCTTCTCATCATGCTCTGGTAACTGGCGAAAAAACACGCATTTTCGTGTTTTGATTGTTTTTTTTTGTTTTGTTTTGTTCTGATTTTCGCGAAAAGCTACACGAGGGCTTTCTGGTCTAGCCGTCCCTAATTTAGCAATGTAAGACTAGAGGGAAGGTAGCTAGTCATCACCACTCATCGACATCTCTTGGTCTACTCTTTTAACGAAAAGTGGGATCGATCGTCACGTTATAGTGTCTACATGGCTGAAAGAGCGAGAATGTTTGGTGGGACGGGGATTCGAACCCGCGACCCGCAGATTTCGGATCGAACCCCTAACTACCAGGCCAATTCGTGCTTTGATTGAATAGAACTGGTTTAATTTCGATTTTATAAAAAGAAGATAATCAACTGGCACTAAAATAAGATAAAAATTTTGTTTGTTTGAAGTTAAGCACAAAGCTACACAATGCGCTATCTGTGCTCTGGCCACCACGGGTATCTAAACCCTGTTTTTAGCGTTGTAAGTCCTCAGACATACCGCTGTGCTACTGGGGGGGGGGGCAGATAAAAAAATATTTATATTTTCTTCATTTCAAGCTCCACTGTATTTGTTTCTGTATCGTTAATTTCATAATGGTTTTGTTTAGAATAAAATTCACTGATTTATCATTTCTGAGCTTATAACGCTAAAATTTGGAGTTCGATCCTTATCGCTGACAAAGCGTAGATATCTCGTTGGGCAGCTTTGTGCAAAACACGACAAACTCCAATGGGTAAAATTTTATAAAATTCATAGTTAACGAAGCTATTCATTAATTTGTTCATTTTTGTGTGAAATTTGTTTGTTTTTAGGGCAAAATCACATTGTGTTCTGTGTCCACCACAGAGAATCGAATCCCGGATTTTAACGTTATAAGTTCGTAAACTTACCGCTTTTTCTCTCCAAGGGACGTAAAATCATTATTCCACCACCATCCATTACACATAAAAAATACTACAAATCAAAGTATTATTAAAATAAAAACTCATTTTACGTGTCCTTATAGCACCAAAGTAAAAAAAAAAAAACATTTTCAAGAATAAAAACAAATTACACTAGACACGTTTATACGTTACCGAAGAGTGTAACGGCTCTAGATTCGCCTTTTTTCAATTCTAAATTGTGTTGTAACAGCTTCAGATCCTGGTTTATCAGTACATCTGAATTGTTGTTCTTCCAGTGGTAAAGGACCGTCGAAGAGGAATAGGCATCTGTAACAAGAAAACTGTAAGTCAGTTCTGGAGGT